TGGGCGCACGAGCCAGCGGGCTGCAGAGGGATGACAGCGACAAAAATGCGTCCTGTCAGATGCCTCGTGGCCAGCAGAGAGCATCGCGGGTCCCCTTTGTGTCTCGGGGTTTGTGGCCAGGTTCCCAGACTGGCTGTGGCCTCGTTAGGGCTGCAAGAGCTGTCCACACGGAACTGGGGAGACTGGGTTCCCGTCAGGCCGAATCAGGGCCCCCAGGAGAGCGACTGACTGTGGGTTCATTGCTTTAGACAAAAGGGGGCTTGGAGGCGAAAGAAGGCTGGCCAGGAAGGCTCGGCCATTTCTAACATGCAGGCGAGATGCTCCTCTGAAACCTTTGAGCTAGGATCCTGCTCTCATCCCCGGAGGCACCACCATGTGGTCAGGCTGGCCGGCACGGGGTGGGGTGGGCACTGAGTGTCACTGGGGACAGAAGCCATGGCCAGGTCCACGCATGGCTTTGCATTGCATTCTGGTGGCTGTGCCTCCAAGAAACGCAGACGGAGGCATCTGGGGTCAGAAAGCAGCTTCCCTTTGCATCCTGACCACAGCCAGGCGATAGCCAGCCGACTCCACAGGCCGACCACAGAGGAGCAGACACGTCGGTTTATTCAGAGACCCCTCCACACATGCACCTTAACGAGCGCTCCCCTCCGCTGGAACCTCCGGCATGATTCTGGCTGTCTTCCCACTCAGAGAGCCATGCTTCAGAATAGCTTTTATACATTTATATGAATACGCACGCCTCAGGCACTCAAGCCAGGAAAACGAGCATAAATCACTTTTTAAACCCGGGAAAACGCTGAATCAAAGGTAACTTTGAGAGCCTTTCTGCTCTTATGGTAACGTGGGTTCTGCTCCTTTGGGGTTATTTTGCAAATGTGCATTAACTTTCTAATTTTATGGAACAGACTTTTGGAACACAACATCCAGGGTTATGAATCCAAAGAGGTAATTGTTGGAGAAACGATTTAATACGTTGTAAATCCCTCTATGTCCGTCCCTTCAAATGGGATGCCAAAAGGGATTAAAGACTGAAAACGCATCACCGGCAAATTCACAGGATAAAATTGCTGTAATCATTCTCTGCTGGATTAACCAGGGCTCGGAGCCTCTGCACGGAGCTTCCATCGGAGCGCGCTCAGCCTCGAGGGTGAGGCCAGGCTGTGGCCAGAAGGACGGTTTGCGCATCTCACCGATCATCTTAGGAAAACAGTGTTCGTCCTTTACGACAAGGTGCCTCTTCTTTTGACGTTCCCAACCTGCAAGGAGAACAGACACGCATATTTGGCAATGCATCTGCTCTGGACACTCATTAGCTCACCCGCAGGGCCCCCAGGAGTCTCTGACGTCTGCTTAAGTCAAAGGGAAATCCTGTCTTTGGGACAAAATCAACAGAATGAAACAGTTGGAGGCCAAATGCCTGGTGCGTGGTCTGTTGAACTCAGGTGGGCGATGGCCTCATGGGTCCACACTCCGGTCCCAGGGAGCAGAGCTGGGTTTGGGAGGGTCTGTCGATGAGCTCGGGTGGCCGATGGCCTTGTGGGTCCACACTCCGGTCCCTGGGGCAGCCTGGTTTCTGAGTTTGGACGCCGTTACCTGTCACTGAAAACCAGGGGTGCTGCTTTAGGTGAGCGAGTTTCCTAACGGGGGGAAAATGAAGATCTTTGGGCATAAAGTATTTTGGGCACCATCGGAACTGAGAGTGCTGGGGCCACGCCGGTCACGCCAGTCAGGGAATGAAGACAGGGTGCAGGACCAAGGGACCCCTAAGGAGCCACTGGGCTCGGAGCAGCCAGCCCCAGGCCCCCATGAGCCTGGCTTCATGGGCTCATAACCTGAGTCTGAATGAGTCTTGCTCTGCGAGCTGCTCGAGCGACAGCCGGTGTGGCCGAGCTCTTCATTTGTGGTGTGGCTGGAGGAAGGAGGCCGCGTCGGCTTCCAGACAGCCCCTCGGCCGGAGTAGGGAGGACCCAGGGCTGTCACTACACCGGCTCTCCAGGCTTGGGTGTGCTGGGCCAGTGTGGGGCTGGATGGCCCGTGGAACCGGTGACCAGGTGGACACACGGCCACCACTTCTTGGTAGAAAACAGACAAAGGCCCTTCTTGCCACCTGCCTGGCCCAGCTAGCTCTGGTGAAAGAGGACTGAAGGAGGAACAAGGATGGAGCACGTCCTGTTGTCCAGCAGTAGAATTTATTCCCTGAATCCGGGGCATTTCCTGCTTCCTATCAAAGCGAAGGAAACAAAGGCCCTCCATGTTTGCATTCTTACCATCTAGAGCGGCAATGTCCATGGTGGGGGCCACGAGCCACGTGGGCTGTTGAGCACTTGAAATAGGGCCCGTCTGAATCAAAACGGGCTCTAAATGCAAGACGCACTGCAGTTTGAAGACTTTGTACAAAAAAGAGAATGTAAAATAGCTCCCTAATAATTTAAAAATATTGACTACACCTTGAAATAACATTTTTGATGTGTTGGGATAAATAAAAGTGATTAAAATTAATTTCATCTGCTTTCATTTCCTTTTTTTACGTGGCCAGCAGAAAACGTAAACTTCCCCACGGGGCCTGCATGTTCCTTGCGTGGCAAGGTGCCGGTCTGAAGGGCCATTGTTAACACCTCCGTCCTGGGGACACTTCCTCACACCTCGTCACAGCAGGTTTGTCTTCCTTGCCCACCACGGATCTTGAAAGGCTGTTTCAAATCCGAGCTATATATATATTTTTTTTAAAGATTTTATTTTTTTTCCTTTTTCTCCCCAAAGCCCCCTGGTACATAGTTGTATATTCTTCATTGTGGGTCCTTCTAGTTGTGGCATGTGGGATGCTGCCTCAGCGTGGCCTGATGAGCAGTGCCATGTCCGCACCCAGGATTCCAACCAACGAAACACTGGGCTGCCTGCAGCGGAGCGCGCGAACTTAACCACTCGGCCATGGGGCCATCCCTCAAATCCGAGCTATAAACAAAGATCTTTCCTATTTAATTCCTCCCCCAAAGCTGAAAAACTCGAGCCCTGGGTGGTTAGACGCATGGAGATGAGTCCTCTCGAGTCGACCCACAGCAATTCTTGCCACCCTGCGGGAGGCAACGCTCGGGAGACCAGAGCCCCGTCACATGTTCCCAGAGTCTCGAGCTGGCAAACGGGCAGCGGACCGGCGCCCCTGGTTGTATTTTGGGCGCGGGAGCTGCCGGAGTCAGACCCTTTGTGCTGGGAAAGTCTTCCCGGCCCGAGGTTCTTAGAACGGTGAGTGTGCTGCGTGAACTTGTCAGAGGTCAAATGACATCTATCTTGAGAGACCAGATTGCTTGATTGGCGGCTGCCAGAGAGAAACCTCACCTCTGGTTTCACTTTGAAAAACACCACTCGGCCCGTGAAAGGCCGCTGTAGACAAATGGCTTTGCAATTTTAGAAAATGTTTAAATTTAATTTCACTTTTACTTAAACGAAGTTACCCGAAGGATTTACGATTACTTAAATGGTTCTTTTTAAAAATTATTTTCCTCCCAAGAGGGGTACAGAGATTTTTTCCTTCACCTTTTTCTTATTATTTCAGACATTTGCCGGGCGGCTGTTTGCCGACCCGTTGTCCGCATCTCAGAGACTTTTCAGACTCTGTGATTTAGAAGCATGGCCCCAACTTGACACAACTATCTGAAAACTGAAATTACAAGTTCAGTCACAAATGAGCACTACCTAATCTGATATTAAAATTTAATCATATGATTTTTAAAAATCCAGTGAAATCTAATACTTTATGTTGAATATAAATGATGTACAAAACATGGCTGTTTTAACCAGAATAAGCAACTCTGTTTCAGATCATGATAAGTAAGTAATTTACAAAGTTGATTTAGGTCACTTTGAAGTGACCCAGGAGCGAATGACATCTGAGCCTCCCGCAGCCCTGGCTCAGTCTCCCAGAAGGGGCGGAAACATAGTTTCTAACACTCAGGTTTTGGGATGTGCAAAACTGATACACTAGTCTGTTAGGGGGAAAAAAAGACAAGGAAGAAATAAAAATGGAAATTAGCAGCAATCAGTATGAAGCATATATCTTTATGAATAAGACTTAATCACACACTTCATTTTGCAAATACAAAAGGGCCTTTTGAAATGCATTAATTAAAGTTAAACGCTAGAGACAGGCGCTTTGTGTGGCGGAGGTCCTCTCCCCATTAGCGTGGCATTAACGACAGCCGCGGAAATTGGGTTAATAAAGCCGGATATCGTAGCAGAGCCGCCCGCACAAACCCGAGCGGACAGCTCGGTGCCCAGGGCGGCTGGCGGGCTGCGCGGCGCGGGACCCCGGATGGTGGCAGAATTCCGGGCTGCGCACCGACTTAAAAGAGACAGACCCTGTCTTCGCACCAACTTTAAAACAGACAGACCCCACCCTGTTCCAACCGGTCTGGGCGCCGCCCCCGCGTACTCACCGGTGGCCCGGCCTCCTCCCCGGAAATGTGCGGCCGGTTGGCGGGGAGGGGCTAGACCGGACCCTCCCCTGACATCCCAGGGCCAAGTGAGGGCGCGGGCTGTGAGGACCCTTTCTCCGTGCAGCCGCCGTTAAGCAGAGGGCGAGCCGCAGTCTCCATCCAGCTCTACCCGGGCCGCGCCCGGGCGAGGATGTCCTGGCGGAGCGCTGCGGCTGAGTCGTCCAGGGCTGTTCAGGGGACAAATTCTGCAGACTTGGAGGCAGCTGGCGTTGGTCCATCTACCTCTAGAGGTAAGCCCTCTAGGCAGACAAGTAAATAAACATCACAAACTCAGACTTGGGAAAGCCGGAAAGCCACTCCTCGGGGCTTCTTGCGTCCAAAGTCCAGTTCCGCTGCAAACGACAGTTGCAGGGCGGAGTCGGGGTGCGTCGGAGCGCTCGGCTGCGGGGCTGCGGGCGCGCAGGGGTCGTGGAGCCGGCAGAGGCCGGAGGCGCCGGGCGCCGCGCATCCTCGGGGACACGCCCACGCAGAGCGCGGCCCTGCAGTCTGGCCACAGCGGCCAACCGGGGCCGAGGAGGCGCCCGAACGCGAGGGCCACGACCCGCCAAGCCCGGCTACGCTCTGTCCTCGCGCTCCGCGAGCCCGGGGCAGGCGCCAGGCAAGACCCCCTGTTCGGGATGGTGCTAGTCTTCGCTTCCGCTGCGGCCCTGGTTTTCTTTTTGAGGGTGAGCGGCGGTGCCCGGACCACCACTGTTGGTCACCCCCGACCTGTCCCCGGGCTCGATAACTGGGGGCGTCGGGAGGGTGGGCGCTGCGGGCTCCCCGGCATGGATTCCAGCGTCCCCGCTCTCCGGTTCGATCCAGTGCCGAGACAGGCTTTGCGCTTCCCCCAGCCGCCATCTGTTCAAGGGCTGGAAGGGAGGTCGGGCCGCCTTCTCCCCGTTGGCGGGGGTCCGGTGGGGGCAGGGTGACACAGTCATTGGGGGCAATGTAAAATGGAGGACGTGCGCAGAAGGCGGGGGCCGCCCGCGACCCTTACGGCTTCTCGTTACAGTGTTTGCAAAGCGCCGAGGGCGTCCCGGAGAAGGAAGCGCACTTGTCTGGGCAGGGCAGCGCGGCGGCCGCTGAGAAAGGGTACACGGCGGCCTGGCCGAAGGGCGTCAAGGGCGCGGCGGCCACGGGCGTGGCCAAGCCGGGGCCCTGGTTGAGGAAGGCCACGAGGCGCCGCATCTCGTCCAGGGCCTGCGCCTGCATGAGGATGTAGTTCTTGGCGAGCAGCAGCGTGGCGATCTTGGACAGCTTGCGCACCGACGGGCTGTGCGCGTAGGGAATGACGGCGCGCAGCCCGTCCAGCGCGTCGTTCAGGTCGTGCATACGCCGCCGCTCGCGCGCGTTGATGCTCAGCCGCAGCGAGCGCTGCTCCCGGGGCCGCCGCCGCCCGTCCGCCGCAGCCCCCGGCCCGCGCCGCCGCCGCCGCTGCTCGAAGGCGTCGTCCTCGTCGCCGCTCTGCTCGCCGCTGCTCTCGGCCGCCGCGCCCGCACCACGGGGCGCGGGCGCCTCGGGGAGGTCGCCGCCCGGACCCGGCGCACCGTAGCCGCGGGCCGCCTCGGGCCCCCGGGCCGCCCCGTAGGCAAGGCCTGCCGCCGCCGCCGCCGCCGCCGCGTAGCCGTGGCTCAGCGCCAGATACGCGTCCCCGGACAGCGACTTGAGCTCGGCCATGGCCGCGCCGCCGGGGCCCGAGGGCTGGCTGGGCGGGCGGGCGCTCATGCGGCCGTGCCCGCGCCGCCCCCGAGGCCCGCCCGAGCCGGCCGCTGCCGCCGCGGTGCCGCTGCCGGCTCCGCGCGTCCGTCTGGCTGGCTGTCGGTCCCCGAGCCTCCGCGCGCGGGGCCTCTCTGGCCCGCCTGGGCCCCACCTCCTGGTCGACTCCTCCTCTCCGTCCTCTTCTCCCCCCCGCCCTCCTCCACCTCGGCCATCTCCCCCTTCCTCCTCCTCTCTTTCTCCCCCCGCCGCTCTCCGTACTCCCCGCTGCCGCGCGCAGGGCTGGCCCGGGGGCGGGCTCTAGCTCCCACTCGCCGGCTCCGGTTTTAAGGTGCGGACGCGCCCGCTGGGACTTCGCGGCCATCCAATCAGAGGGGACCTGGTGACGGCCTCTTTCTGGAGCCTGGCTCCACTAGTGGCGCGGACCCACGACCTGGGGTGAGGGCACCGCCGAGATGGAGGGAGCTGGAGGTCCGAACGGGGATAGGGAGGGGCGGCAGGGACCCGGGAGCTCATCGCCTGCTTCTCGGCGTCCCCTGCTACTACCGCCTGCCAGACCCAGGAGTTGCCATCACAGAACGCTCGCTTCCCCGTGGGCACTCTCCTCGGTCCGTGTCGCCCTCGGTCCCTTTCGCAGGGGCCGCCTCCAGCGTCGCGCAGGGGTCGGAGCAGGGAGCGCGCAGCACAACCGCGGACACCCCGACCCGCCGAGGCCGGAGCAGGTGCGGAGCGCACGCCTGGGGCCCTCCTCCGGGGTCTTGGGCGCGCAGCCCAGTGCGGGCGCCCTCGCCGACCCGCTGCACAGCCGCGTGACCCGAGTCGGCAGACTGCGCGCTCCGGGCGCCCTGTGGGCCGGCTGGGCCGGGAGGCGCCATCGGGGACTTGCCCGCCGCCGGCCGTTTCCTGGGCCTCCTGCTCCGCCACGCAGTTCGCCGGGACAAGTGCGTCCTGAGGTTTCTTCCACGCTCCCCCCCAGGTCGTAGTGACTTGAGGCAAGGGTTGCATTTTGAGGACAAAACCTGTTTCAATTACCTGGTATTTCAGATGAAAGGTTTTTTCCATGACTTGCCTGACGATAGAGGGAGAATTTTCTGTTTTCTACTTGGGGGCGAGGACTCCCCGCATGGCGTTGGGGAAGATGGCAGGCTCTGCTCGAAAGAGATGGTGGGGGCTGCTGGTCACTCTCCAAGCCAGTGAGAGACGGGTGGGGATGAGTCATATGTCCTGGAGCCTGAATCTCAGCTAATACCCCTCCAGGGAGGCTGCGGTGGTGCCCCCAGGTGGGCATCAGACCAGAGGTGCTGTCTGAGCACCTGCAGGGTGGCAGGCTGATGTGGGATGCCTGGTTCTGCAATTCTCCCACTAGCCTGGAGAGGGGTGGGGGGCTCTGCTGGTCATTGGGCACAGCTTTCCTCAGGGTGAGGGGTGGGCTGGCTGGCCAGGAGAAGTCCCAGCAGCTGGGGGTTAGGGGCGGGGATTGATCCAGCCTGTCTGAAGGTTGCGGAGGGGTGGAGTAGCGATGGGGAACCCCATGAGCCTCTCAAACCGGGGAGGATAGGAAGCTGAGGGCAGCCCGGTTCCTTCCTCAAACCCTGCATCCTTGTTTCCCGATACGCTGAGGGAACGGTTTAGCCCGTCAGCTCTCTGCCAGTGCACCCCCAGCTGACCTTCCTCCATGTTCCTTGACCCAAAACTGGAAATGCGGTGAGCGCAGGGTGCCTCGCAGGACTTGTGCCCCAGCTTCCAGAGGTGCCACCTCCTCTCGCATCAGCCCCATTTGATGGGAATCCTGCCAGCCTTGGGACCCACCTTTGCAATCCTTCCAACGGGGTGAAGGCCAGGACCCCAAACTTTCTCCCAGGTGGGAAACTGCCTGAAGGCCCCATGGTGTTGGGGAGGGATGGTTGCTCCCCACTTAGTCAGCAGATGGGGGTCACCCTGGCCTCCAGCACCAGTCTGCCTGGCAACCACTCATCAGGCCCAGCTGTGTGACCTTGGCAAAGTTGCTTAACCTTTCTGTTCTCCAGGTTCCACCAGGGAGAGGAATAAGAGAGATGATCCATGTGTTGTCAAGTACTCGGGGAGGGTGAGTGGGTGCCGTGCACTTTTGTGGAGTGAATGGCTGACAGCTGTGTGCTTTCTGGAAGGTTCTGGAAATCCAGCAGTGATTGGGATCCTGGCTCTCAAGGACTTCCATGCTGGGTGCGAGTGTTCGAGAAGACAGGCATGGACACGGGGATAAGCCATCACAGGACGCCAGGTTTTCTGTGCTCTGGGCCCTGCAGAGAGGAGGCGTGGGCTAACGTGTCTGCTCCCGCTGGTGGCCTGGGTCCCCCCCGCTGCACGTTCCAGAGGGCCTCACCCGCCAGTGCACCCTGGCCTGGAGTGCAGGTGGGCTCGTCTTTGGCAAAGGTGAGAAGGGTCTGGGTGAGGCCCTTTCCAAGAAGGGCCTGTAGACTGGCCCCTGGGTGCAGGTCAGGCACAGGCAGGGCAGTGGGGCAGCCTGGCGTGGACAGGGCCGTGGTGTCTGGGCCGTGGTCTGAAGGGTATGTGGGTGTCAATTAGGCCAAGAGACTGACGTGGGGGCACCCTGGGGGCGGGGAGGAGCACCGGCTATCTGAAGGAGCGTGACACATTGCAGGGGCAGCAGGGGGCCAGGGTGGGGCCCAGAGACCCCGGGTGGGGGGACCGGCGTGGTGGGGAGCTCGGTCTGTGATGGAAGAGCAGTGGCGGTCAGTGAACGCGCTTGGGAAGTGTTGTCAACAGATCAGTGTGACCCGCTGTGGTTAGGGGACTGGGGGCACTTCCTCCTGGGTGCCCCCCAGGCCTGGCAGAGCTGCTGGGGGATGTGGAGAGAGGCGGGCCCCCAGAGGCTGCCGTGAGTGGGGGCGCTGAGGAGGGACAGCCATGGATGACCTCTTGCCGCTGGCCTGAGGACTGGGGAGGACCGGCGTTGAGGGGGAGGGCGCGCTGTGGACCTACTGAGCCTGGGGGCATCTGAGGCGCCCAGAGGGGCGTCTTGCAGGCGTTTGTGGGGACGTGGGGTGTTGGGTGGGGATCAGTGGAGCACGCGGGATGAGATCGGCTTTCAAAGCGTGGCCTGGAGTAGAGGCCGCCGCGGCTGCAGGTGGGCCTCCCCTGGGGGATTAAAGCAGATGTCGGGGTCCCAGCCCAGGGGTTCTGACGTGGTTGCTCTGGGGTTGGGCCTGGGGCTGTCTAAACTCCTAGCCAGGTCCCGGGCTCTGGGACAGTTTCCAAATGGCCAGTGACCAAGAGCCCTCCAGAGCTCCCAGAAGGGCCAGAGGCAGAGGCGGGCTCGGTCGGACTCCAGGACCATCGAACAGCCCCCGTGGAAGGCCCACCGTCCAGCGCTGGAAAACCGGCCTGGAATCCCGCCTGGCCCCGGCTTGGGGAGAGGCCTCGTTTTTGGGCAGACGCCGCCACCTGCTGGCCGCCTGGGAGACCGCGCGCCGCCGTGTCCCCCGGGTTTCAGAGGCACCTGGTCCATCCTGGTCAGGGTGCACAGGGGTCCAGGGACGAGTGGAGACACCTGCGTTGCTGTTGCTGAGTTCCCTGTCCTGGGGTTCTGTACGCGGCCGAGACGTCCTCACCCGGAGTTCCAGCTGATGAGGCTGAGACGCACCTTGGTGCCACCGTTGCCACTTCTGGGCCCCTTCACACTCGCGGGCGAGGGCTGTGTGGGGCGTGAGGCAGTTCTGCACTGACTGTGCTGCTTCCTCGGGCCTCAGTTTCCCCATCTGTAGCATTGGATGGTCTTGGTAAGGCGCGCGGTCTGATGGCTACCCCCAGGGGTGAGCCCCCACCTCCGACCCCACCCAGGGTTCCTCGGCTTCCTCCAGGCCTGGGCCAGTGGTTCCCTCCCCCTCCTGGCAGCCACTCTGTCCTGCAGCCGCGGTCCCTGTGTGTGGCTCCAGCCCTTCCGAGATCTGGCCTGTGACAATCCGATGCCGTGGCCCACGTGGGCACCCAGTGGACATCATCAGCTGCCCCTGCTGCAGATTGTGCTTGTTAGGTCTCAGGGAAGGGGGCCAGGGGGATGGGGGGGACATGGAGCGCTGTGGGGTCACCTGGGGAGCCAATTGGACAGGTCTGGTGGGGGGAGCGGGCAGGAGCAGAGCTCTAGGGGCGAGAGGCTTGCCACTGAGGCCTTGGGCAGCCACCTTTCCTCCTCGGCAAAATGGAGGGACGGGTGCAGTGAGAAAATACCACTAGTGACCAGAAACGCACCCTGCCCCTTGACAGAGACAGAGGCTCCAGAAGCGGACGCTTGCACAATCCCAGTCTTCTCCAGAGTCGGAGAGGATGAGAGAAGACATCGTGGGGGAGGCTGCTGACTCAGGCCCCGGACAGAGAGCCGTTGGTTTTTCCAGGGGCTGCCCCCACCCCCCGCCCTGGGGTGTGGACTCCACCGGCTTGCTGTCCACACGGTGCTTGTGCCAGCGTCCCCAGCCCCAGCTCAGCGAGTGTTTCTCCTTCTTTACGTCGTGTGTGGCGTCTCAACAGTTTCTTTTCAAACATCCCTGGCTCAGGAGAGCTCACATGCAGATGCTGCTGAGGGCCTGACAGATATTCACCCCCAGCCTCTTTGGGTTTTTATGGGTTTTGTGTACATCCTCACACATGCTTTTGGGTTGTGCTATTTCCTGAGTGTGGTCACAACTCCTTGCTGTGGGGAGGCCAGGGGCAGCGCGTTGGGGCAGCCGGCACAGCCCATGCGCAGGCAGGGAAGAGGCGTGGCGGTTCCTTCGAGGCTGACTTGGACCTGGGATCTCGGCTGGGACTCTGCCCTCTGCCTCATTATTTCTGTGGGTCTCTGGTGAGGGAGGCCCCAGGGCCCCACCTCTGGGGGGCCGCTGGTTAGCTCATTTTAGGGGGACACATGTCTCCGTGTGCCCCTTGCCAGGTACCTCTGGGTGGCGCTTAGGCAATGTCCTTGACACCCTCAGAGTCACTGCAGCGCCACGGGGTGTCTCTGTCTGCCGTCCGCT